GTATGAGGAACCTCATGAACCTGATATGACGTTTAGTGTTCCTATAGTACAGGTGGGTTTCACTCAAGACTTATACATAGGGAAACGCTTGGTGGTTAACTTTACACATATTCCCGCTTTACGCCTTGTGGAAGCAAGTAAATTTCGAAAATTGCGTATATTTGATACCAAACACAAGATCAATATTTATAATGAATATTTAACCGATAAATGTGTTTCCATTTGGAGTTGACCACCAAGCGCTAAACGTATATCACGTGACTGAAACCCAGCTATATAATATAAAATTTGAGCACGAAACCTATAGTTACTAACTATTTATCTAAATTTCTAAGTCCAAAACGAACTGACACATTTTGACATAATCATTATGTTACACGTATACACTATATATACTTCATAACTGTCGTGAAAAAACCTCAGTTTATATTAGTTTAAATTTTTATCCCTAAATTTAATATGTTGCATTACATGCATGCGGAGGGTTATCGTTCCATGTTTCGCGCACCAATATAGGTTAGGGTTAGGGTTAGGGTTAGGGGTTAGGTTTAGGGGTTAGGTTTAGGGTTGCATTAGGGTGTGTATATATATGTATAGGGAGGTATCCAGTTGACTTTGCAGTATACTATTCATTATAATATCCATTACATAACGTTTACTATATATTGGTGCGCGAAACATGAACGACTACCATGCAGAGTGACGATGGTGGATTTATGTCATGGAATGTGCTTGTGTATGCGGCGTGTTCTTTATGGCCATTTTTGCTATGTCAATTTAAATTACAGTTATTTTATATTGTATGTTAAAGAATGGACCACCCATGACATTTTAAGAATAAAGTTATCAATCACTTTAAATTAGTTTGCTATCATTCTATAGACATTGTTTAGACGAACAATCTGGTAGTTCAGATAATTATTAATGATTGCTCATATATGTTTCTGTATGTTGTCTTGCTTTCATTCGAAGTTCAGCAATACTTGATTGTCGTTGAGAGTTTTTCAATGCAGTTGACCTGTCGCAATATGCTTCTCTGTGATCATGGGTGAGCGGTATTAACGATGAGCCAGGTGAATGAAGGTTTAAAGTGGGAAATGTATAAGGTCTATGAGACCATCTTTGAAAGAGCTCTTGCAGTGCATGATTTTCGCTATATGTAGTTTTTGTGGCAGGTAGACCAGTTCCTCGGTTGGAGTTCACCTCCTGCCGTCGTGATTTGGCTCGACGGTTTTGAAACCAAATCTGAAACCAATAAATGGAACAATCTTCACACTTCTGGGGCTGGTTGTTCAAAGCTGCATGGATTACTGCTAACCCTTGCATGATTAAAATTTAACCTGCTGTTTTAGTTCATGTGTTTCTGCACGTCTGTTTATTTCGGACAAGAAAGGTCCTATATACTAACCAGACAAGATTTCTGAACAAATTTGTAAACAAGCTGTTGGGAAGTTTGCTTTGAATTTTAATTTAACCTATAGGGTTAAGCTAAACGGCTTTCGAACAACAGGCCCCTGCATGTAAATGTGGATACTTTCGTAGCAAAGCTAGCAAGCTTTGCCTTTGCTTAGTTTGGTCCGAAAGTATCCACAACTATATGTAGGTCCGAAGGTATATAGACAATAAGGGAAGCGTGCAAGGACTGCCAAGGTATTCATATTGTGAATAGTCAAGTGGTTTGCTAGCTAGCTTCTCGGGTATAGGCAGCATTCAGTTTCTTTATGATTTCTGACTTTGTATTTTTTGAGGTAATTACTAAGTTAGTACTTATAGTTATATAAAATTTAAAAAAGTCTAAAGTTTTCCTAAACTTTTCCGTGCGTACACGGCTTTTGCATGAAAAACGCTTAACTGCGGGAAAGCAGGTTTATGTTTAAAATTTACAGAAGAGGTTTCAACATCGTGGCCTGAACTTATACTGTCCGTTGTATATATGGAGGTGTCCAACTGTCCGTTGTACAGAGTGTCTTTTAGTAAAGGTTGCACTGTATTGTAACAAATATATAGGCAATAAAACAAAATCGGGTGCACATTTCTTGAATACAAGTTTTTGAATAGACATGTATTGTACTAATTGTGCCAATTTACTGACGTGCAGTGCCTGGAATGCACATCGCCAATTTCTGCCAGTTTATTTTGTTCCTATGGCTAAGTCATCTTATACTAATCAAAGACCTTTGGCTTTGCCTTAATATGTTAGCTGTAGCTCATAGGTTAAGAAGTCAGAAGAGATTGTAAAACCATTCACGCGACATGCGGGTAGCAATTATTATAATTAGCGTATTCCTATTCAGCAATAAAATTGATTAAATGCGAGTGTGTTTTAATTGGATAGGAACACCACTGAGATAGTTAATCCAAAACGGAAATCTTGTCGTCTGTTTTCCCACCACTTCTTTGGATAATGTACAAAAGATTACAGTGTGTTGTACTAGCCACAACATTTAACTCTCTGTATATACAAACGGATTAACACCAGCTCGTTTAAACACTGTTGTACGATAAACTGTAAATACAATAATGCTCTTAATTACCGCCTTCTGTAGGTGGCCTGTGTCATACATAAGTAAAACGCTGCCACTTGGTAAATTTTGAAAACGATGGAGTAAAAAAAAACACTCTTATAATCAGTGTCTTTGTTAATACCCTTTATCGCTTCTCAATCGTTTTATTATTACAGTTTAGAACACATGAAGGGCGGAGAAAGATCAAATTATTGAGTATTATTATATTGGTTATTGTCATATTGATATAAACGCAATATAGTTGCGTAATATGTGAGATAGGTCGGTTATTTTCAGGACGTGAAACCTCCATATAAGAACCTGGTCCTAGACTCCTAGCACTACCGGTAGTACTGTTGATCGAGGAATGGAACACAGATTTTCATCATGTACTATACATTCTACCGACGACGATTTCCTCTGGATGTTTTCCCCTTTTTGTGCCATATTTTATACCAGCTCTTGCACTACAAAGTCAATATATATATATAGTAAAGACTATAAAGTCATAAACACACCTGTACCCTTGACTCCGACAACATAAGTCTTCTCGCTATAGCTTCTCTCATGAAGGCATCTGGGTAGTGAGTTTGATCAAATAATCTTTCCAGTTCAGATAATTGTTCAGCACTAAAATTTTTCCTATTTCTTGAACTTTTCACACGAATTGCTCCTGTGTGAGATTCTCTTTCACATCCAGAACCTGCAAATATACATAGTGCAGTACCAGTAAATATTTTATGTTGAAATACTCAAATATTTCTGTTCTTTACAATGCTAGACTAGTAACAGTTCACAACTGATAGATCCCTTCTGACAAATATAAACATCAAAAGAACACTAGTGTTTAATTTGCTAGGCTATAGACACACTTCTTGACATATTTAATATATATTATAAGGTACAAAATGTTGTGCATTATACAATTTATACGTGATTATACGCGTCGACTATCATATGCCACATTTTATTCGGGTATATTATAGTTACAGGTAATTCACATTGCCATTGACTCTAGTTATGGATTTTAATATACAAGGTTCTCAGATCCAAGACTAGTTGTTACTCACGCATCATGGGTGTTTCCAGTCGCTGTACTGACACAGCCAATATGATGTACAGTGTCAGTGATTTTTTATGTACAACTACTACGTTACACCTTTTACAAAACAAAGGCAATAATCATTTTATCATTTCAAATCCTACACCGGCATCACACTTAAACAGGATACAGTAGACAATGGTTCAATCAAAGATGAAATTGGTTAGCGCTTTCAAGCTGTGTGTGCTAACTTACTTGCTTCTGGCATGTTGGAACCTAATTGCAGATGTTCCCCTCTCACTTCATTCCTGTACCTACTGCCAGTTTCTTTGCTCAAAATGTTCGCAATATTGAACGCATGTGAAGAACTGAAGACTGGAGAACTTGTTGATGTCCTGCTCGAGTGAGCCACAATATCTTCAGACGAACTGGTTTTTTCCCCTTCAAATCTTGATACAAATGCTGTTAATTTCTCCATCTCATTAGGTAATTAACACTTGCAAACACACAATTAACGTTAAACTAATATTTGCCAAGTGGTTTCTCGCAGGCATGTACTGACTCTGATGTTTGACGCAAACTTATGTTGACATATTCTTATTGGGAGTGGATTGGCTCGCTGGTAGGACGTGCATATCATAGTGTTTAATATCACAATGTGTCAAGTCAAAACTAACAGTTTCTTCACAGCAGTTGCCTTATGTTAATTCAAAGTTCACAACGCGGCACTGTTAATTACAGTTCACATGAGGTGATCACGATCAGTTTTGCTATTGTCAACTAATCTGTGATCAGGATATAAACATAATTAAACTGTTTAACCTAGCTGCTCTCTGTTCGTTTTTTAAAACTTCACCTAAATTATTTTGCCAAGCCTATATATTAAAACTTCCGTTGACTGTTGTTTATTAAGAGATAAGAAACAAGTTTAATAAAGGATAGGCTCAATTAGGAATCAAAGCTATGTTCTTTATCCGTCTTCTATATAAAAGAATTCAAAGGCACCGACTCGGCAGTCAATGTAAAGCAATATAATGGACAAAAGAATAAAGAAAATTGATGAGTTATAACATTTTTAGCAACATTTCGTGAGTTAATTAAAACTATATTACTAGGCTAATTTTAAACTATTAAAAAACAGGTTAAGGGCCTGTTTATATGATCCCGGCCAGGCGGGACGGGATGCTTACCGAGATCCCGCTCGTAATACAAATTCTAAAGAGTGTTTATATGATCCCGCCACTTATCCCGCCTAGGCGGGATCTCGGCAACAGATGCCGGGATCCCGCCTAAGCGAGATGAAAAATTCCCATATAAACACTTCATCCCGCCTAGCCGGGACGAGAAATTCCCATGTAAACACTTCATCCCGGCTAGGCGGGATGAACTTTTCCCTTTTGAGCATGCGTAAATGCCTTAATTGCAACAAAAATATGACGTCAAGCACTTAAATGGCTTCATCCCGGCAATGTATTTTGTCCATATAAACGGCATGTTGTAAAAGACGGACTGGACTGGACTGGACTGGACCGAACTGGACTGGACTGGACCGAGAAAACGCGGACTGAGTCCGTGTTTTACAAATCGCGGACTGAATTTGTAAAACACGGACTGGACTGGACTGGACCGGGAAAACACGGACTGGGTCCGTGTTTTACAAATCGCGAACTAAGATTTGTAAAACGCGGACTGAGTCCGTGTTTTACAAATCGCGGGCTGCAATTTGTAAAAGGCGGACTCATTTCCTGAATGCACTAAGGATGAACGGTCGCAGTAAAGTATAATTGTCTATTCTCATGACAAAGTTCAATGTTTTTACCGAGAAACTTCAATGTTTTTGATGACATTTATGATCATTTGGTGGTTTCAAAGCTTGGATCTGGTTCTTCAACAGATTAAAATCAGATCAAAACCTGTCAAGTGCTCTTGGCAAACATCGGGTCATTCCATTTATTATCCGCACCCCCCCTATGGATGAGCGGATTCCTACCGGTCAGATATTAGGACTTAGGGGATTCCTACTGGTCAGATATTGGGAATTAGCAGATTCCTTCGGCCCGATTCCTACCGGTCAGATATTGCTGTCGAGGTGTAGCATACTATATTGCCAAATATTTATTATGAGAATCATAATCATTCCATTTATTATCCTCACCCCCCCCCCCGGTCTGACATTGGGAATTAGCAGATTCCTACCGGTGAGATATTGGCAATTAGCAGATTCCTACCAGTGAGATATTGGCAATTAGCAGCATTCCTAGGGTTTAGATTGATACTGTCGATTCCAACAGGGTACTTCTCTGAAATCCGATTCCTACAGGTAACATTTTTACCAGAGCTCATCCATAGGGGGGGTGCGGATAATAAATGGAATGACCCATCGAAGATTCTCACGCGAATAGGCAATATTTTTTTATGAACGACCGTTCATCCTGCAAGCGACGGTACACGGACTCAGTCCTGTACTGACTCAGTCGTAAAAGTTTAGGCGGGAATTGCACTCAGTCGTGAGAGTTTTGGCGGGAATTGTGGATAATAGGTCGGTCAAGGAATAATCATATCCTGGACCTATTAGGTTGGTATAAATTACTATTATTTATTTAGTGTTTTGAATAAACAGATATTTAATAGCGTTCAATCTTAGGAACACGCTCAGTCATGTGCGACTTTGTGCCACTATTGTCGAGGAAACTCATGCGTATATCAAATGTGGCCGTTTCACATGTAAATATAGTTGTATGCCTGTATAGATATAGCTCTTATAGCAGATATACCATTTAGTGTTAATCATAATTAGACGAAAATAGAGTTAATTCGTTTATTTTGTGTTCGTGGGGAAGAGGGCGTATTAAATAAAGGTGTCTACAAATTTGCGAGAAATATGAAATGAATACTGTAATCGAATTTACCTTTCAAATATTTGTGTTATTAAGTCAATTAAACGGTAACCTGAGTATCAGGCGCTATTTTACAAATAGAGCCTGACACAAAACTTAACCTGATCGCTTTCCGCCCACAGCAAAGTTTATATTTAGTATCCAATCAAAATGTCGCAAGAGAAATTTAAATTTCACACAACGACAACAACAATCTAATTATAGCATAGGCGCTCACTAAACGGCTGAATTTAAATTAAAACTGCAATCATAGGCTGCCCAAAAGTGCGTGTTGTAATTTTTACCCTCGCGCGTGGCGCTCGGGCGTGCATCGAGTTTACTCAGTTTATTATTATGACATAATAATAAACTGAGTAGACTCGATGCATGCCCGAACGCCACGCGCGAGGGTAAAAATTTCAACACGCACTTTTGGGCAGCCTATGCTGCAATGAACTTATAAAATTAACAAAAATAATCACAAATTAGCGAAATATATTGCAAATGTAGCTTATATTAAATCGCCACCCGATTGCTCTCTCCTCCGCAGAGGTTTCAGTGACTACAATGAGCTTTACATGGCGCTTGCCGTATTTATCAACAAACAGTGACGTATAATTATAAAGTATATATATATATATTAAGTATACTTTATAACTATACGTCAGTCGATAGTGCAATCTGATGGCGATTTAATATAAGTTACATTTGCAATATATTTCGCTAATTTGCGATTATTTTCTAATTTTACTGCAGTTTTAATTTAAATTCAGCCGTTTAGTGGGCCGGCTATAATTGTAGTTGTGATCGTTATAAAATATATCAACAACAATAGTATAATCTAATTAGCACCAGCCAATCAAATGACAGATTTAAAAAATCGTTTGTCTAATCGGCCAATCAGCGCTCAGTCCAGATTCTGGACTGAACAAACCAGGCAAAATGCCACTTTTGTGTCAGGCCGTACTTTTCTCCCCTTCGCCCACGATCAGGCGTGCCTGTGCCCTAAAAAGTACGGCCTGATACTCAGGTTAATTAAACGGGGAAACTCTCGCAGGCCATCAAAACATCAAAGGTGGTGTTGTGAATGTTGTGCATATAAATTACAATAAATTTAAATTTCTTAACTCAGTCATTGTTGTCGTACGAGGAAGTTTCTAAAAATCGTTATTGGATTATAGTATTCATTTCGCATATTTCTCGCAAATTTATATATACACTCGTTTTCAAAATTACGCGACCTCCCTGAAAAATATACTATTTAAATACTTCAAATGTCAGTTTTATGTCACAAAAACTGCTAAAAATAGCAAACGTAAACAAACTGTCAAAAGGCGTAATTTAATACCAAAACTGATAAAAAATTAGTTAGATAACTTAGATATACAAACTAAAGCACAATACAAACCATCACAACAGAAATATATGTCGTGAATAACTTTTAAAGTTTGAAAACTAACAATTTATCCTGGAATTTTAAGCTGTCAGTATAAAACACGCGCGCTAGACTATAACGGTGACGTTTATAATTATATGATTTTGTTTGTGCTTAAATTTTGCAATAATTCGCACTAAAATATCTTGAAAATCATTGTAAGCCTATTTATATAAAGCATAATAAGCATACACATCGACAAGGAACGGGAAAACTGTTTAGAACTCAAAGTTTAAACTTCGTGACCGAATGACATAACTGACATGTCAACTCTAGCATTTTCGTCCTTGGTCGCGTAATTTTGAAAACGGGTGTAAGGGGCCGACCATTTAACTTTTGAGGGGGGGGGGGTGATTTACTGCTGGCAGGGAATTTTTTTCTGGGATCGTTATGTGCAAGATATTTTTTTATCACCATCACCATGTCAGATTTTTTTTTTGCCACACTTTCTTTCGCATTTTTTTTCAATAGCTTATACTATTTAGATTATAGTTAACGTTGAGTTTTTTAGCTTCATGCATTGCTCTTAATAATACATTTTGCTATGAGGTATAACATTTGGTTCAGTGCCTTTTTTAAGGATGTGCAACTGGAGAGGACATAATTAGCGGGGGACCTGGAGAAGTTCCAGTCGGCAAGTCTGTATCCAGGGCCGTAGCTAGCATGTATAGTTGGGGGGGGGGGGTGTAGGCCAAAAATTTCCGAATGACGAAAATAATTTCCGAATATATCATGGCATACTATTAGCCATGAAGGTGTTTGCTATTCGGAAAATGAAGACGCAATTTACAATTAACAAAAATATGCATAATTTACGCACAGACATATTACAGAAGCAGTGCGGTAGGGAGCTTTTGTTTATTGGGGGCAGAAAACGAGGGCCGGAGGCCCGAGGAAATTTCGAGTCTCTGAAATGCCATTTCCTGGACTTTGGGGAAGTTTTGACAGAATGCTGATGGTCGGAAAAAAGCGTTTTAGTATGACGAAATTTACAATTTGCTTACAATTTATAGTGACAATACAATTTTATAATATTTTCTCTGTTTAACAACTAAAATTTTGTTCTACTATTAAATAATTGCCGTAATTTTCCGAATGGCCAACCCGATTTTCTGAATGTGTTGATTCTAAAAAAGTTGGGGGGGTGGGGGTTAACCACCCCCAATA